AATCCCTAAAACAATGTCAAGACACCTAGGCAGACCAAGGCAGCAAGCACATTATCGTCCGTAAATGGCAACATGTGCCATCCAATGGAAGAGCACTATCTTGTTTGAAAGAAAAGTTTGGAAAATTAGAAGTAATGTCTTGAGAAAAGAAAAACCTCTCATAAGCTATATAAATATTATTACTATTTTTCAATGAATGGCCTGAAAGGGTACAACAAAGCATAAAATGATAGAAGGTCAAAAACAAAGCAATTTCCGTGGAAGCAACATGCTTCCCATAGTGGAAGAGAGTGGGCACACCCCTTCACTTTTATCTTCTGATTCCAACTTTTAAAAGCTTTCTTCGTACTCTCATAATTTCTTTGACCTCAAGCTCTTTTGATGAACTTTTTCATTGTGCTTTAATTTCACTCGGGCTCATCAAGCACCTTGTCCACAAAATGAACCCAACAAATATCAGATTTCCAGGAGAGTTTTGTCTTCGGCAGAAATGTGAAAGAGGTACCGGTCGATGGTCTTCGGTTGAAATATTGTACTGTTTGGGTTGCACATGGTGTGCAAACATGTAACGACAAGTTTGAGGTGGTTGGTTTTTCAATTCTGTCTCCAAATTAAACAGGAGCAACTTTCACCAAAGGATGTGTGGTGGAAACTGATCAGCCTAATTATTAATTAATTTGAGAGTTTATTTAGTGCTCACTTCTTGTATTCAGAATTAGAATTAGAATTAGATTGCAGTATATATGCCCTCTCCTTTATTCGTCCCAGAATTTTGAAATATATATTTATACATATGACATATCATCTTCATTTGAAGTTTGCACGTAATTACTAAGTCGAAGTATAGTTCGTCTCTAACGAATTCACTCACGGTCTCAGTCTCACACAAGTAGCCTTATGAGACTTGCTTTTCCTATTTTTCTTGGTCAAGCATCATCAACCTAAGGCTTTTTATTGTCCTGATACATGAACCAGACTCGTTATCTTAAGAATTATGGGAGCATCTCCAGGATAAATTTAGGTGCATGTCCAAGTCTCATAAGAGATAGTGGGTGCCACGTCGCCATCATGATACGCATATAATATATAGCATTTCGAGATGGATAATCAAAATGTATGAAGTAGATGGAGAAGAGAAAATTTAAAAGAGAATATGCATGTTTAAAAAAAAAGAGAGAGAGAGAGCAGAACACAACGAGATATAGCTTTCTTCAAACAACAAAATAGCGAGCTAGCGTCCCTAATAGAAAGATATTTGTTTTAGAATTGGACAAGAATGAACATCGACTATCTACAGAATAAATTATATAGAGCTATGAAACCAATATTTTAAAACAGCTTCTGAGCTATAATAAATAATGCCTAATCTTTCATCCTAAAATGCGATTGTTTGCAAAAAGCAGAGGCGATGATGTGCGCACACTAAAACCAAACATCCATGTCAATGGCTTTATGCAACACAACATAAATTAATGGCAGACACAACAGAAGCCACACAAAACCATCCACTTCTGATCGCGTCCCCATCCACCGTCCACCAGTTCAGATAGTTCAAATAGTGTCATCCACTCTTCACAAGTGTTTCATTCCAACTAAACTTTTACTTATACATGTATATTACCTCAGGTCCCAAATATAAAAACTAGTTGAGAGTCCTAAATATAATATTTTAATTTACTTTACTTCTCAAATTTATAATGTGTTCTAAAAATATTTGTATTAATTGTAAGATATTTCCACCCAATTGTAGTTTCAATGCACATGTTGCTATAAATAACTAACTTAACTAATTTTTTTAACTTTTTCCAATTAGTTATCTAACTCTTATGTTAAGGACTAAATGTAATATTATATAATCAAGTCAGTCTTCTTTTACTTATTTAACAAATTGAATCTATATGATAAACTTCCTGGTATTTTGATCTTTCAGTACTATACATATCAATCATATACACAAATCATTCATCAAGACCTCTTGCTGTTGTTATATGGTCATTTTCTTGGAAACCGTCTATACCAATTAATCAATGTCATCCATCATCAATATATAGAGAATCTATAAAAAAAGCATATTATATATATTTATAAGTAATAAACATTGCGATATATATAAATATATATATGTATAGGTATGTAAGAAACCTTCAAGCATAAGATCTATAGATTACACAAAAGTACTGCGACGTTCTAAGGGAACCTCCCTGTAATATACTCTTGTTGAAATATTCTGTTAACGCAGCAACATAAACACAATATAGTAATCAAATACTAGTTCTAGAGACGTTTACGTCAATGTAAACATCAAGTGAGATAAAATTGAAGCCAGAACATATCGTATGTACGCAGTACATATAATACCCATTAATTATAGTATTAGTTTTGCGTCATGGGCTTAATCTTTTTTACATGCTATTATTTTATTATTGTGATTGCAGTAAGTAAGTGTCTCAAAATGATCCCGAGAAAAAGTTAAAAGCATTTGATGGGACTGAACTGTTGCATGCAGGACAATTGGAGTTTTGTAGGTCCGTGAAAATAATACTGTCAAGTGCGGCCGAACGTGAAAGGTAACAAATAATTGTACATACAGTACTTTTGGATTGAGAGGAAAGAGCCATCTTAATATGATTTGCTAGTGGCTGGCTTACGGCGCCCCTAGCGAGAAGCTATGTACATATATCTATAGATTTTATATATTTCTGTTACGATATCACTGAAAAATAAAGTAGCTCCATGTTTAGCTTAGTGACATAAACGTACCAACACTTGCAGGTTGGCTTATTTCGGAATCAAAATGTGTGGTTGTGTCTCTTTTATTTGATTGCTTCGTGCTCTCTGGCTAAACCTCCTCTGTCATTTCATGTATTTATTTTTGCGGATACGGAAGGCAAAGCAATCAAAAGAGGTTTAGTGGGTTTATAATCGTTTGCGTGAAAGTTAAAGCAAGATGAAAAATATATATTAGGTACAGATGAACAACTCGAAAATGTTGTTTAGGAGTCAATGATATATATGCTTTTGAAATTTCTAAATGCTCATGGAATTTGAATCATTTTGCTTATATCGATCACAATCCAAGGAGTTTGGTATAATACCACCTTCATGGTTTTTACTTTCCAATTACATTTGTCCTTGTAGCTGTCAAATTATAGAACCAACTTACTAGGTAGTGGCCGTTGAATTTAAGATGAAGGCATGGTTGAATCTTATCACACGAGCTTACCTATCTCAATCTCTAAGTATTAAAAAAATACATTTCAAATCTTCCACTTACTTTCAAGAGTCACATCCCTTTGGGTTAAGGCAAACTAATTTTTATTTATTTACTTATTTTTATCTTAGTCAGAAGATTTGTCGTTTTAAGTTGGCAATTGAAATTGGAAAGTCGAGTGAGAACTTGCAGGAATATGTCAGTACAAAAACTCAATGGCCTATTGGGCTATATTTTATAGTTAGACCCATTAGTTTTTGGGCCAGTCATTGGCCCATTAAGTGAATTAGATCCATTTTCGATTTATTTACCTCTCTTATTTTGGGCCAACAATTTCTCTACCTCGTTGGACCTTGGTTGTTGCCTGCCAGATTCTATAGCTAAGCCCAATAAATTCCGGGCTAAAGTTGAGTTATTTTCCATCGTTAGACCTATTAGTTTTTGGGTCAAAGTCATTGGGCCCATTAGTTGGATGACATAGCTGTTCTATTTCTTTACCTCGTTGTTGCTTAAATCTATATCAGTCCAATAAACTCACCGGCTGAAGGGTGATTGAGAACACATTGGGTGATTCCATTAATTAATCTTGCAAATGACGCACCACTATTAACAAATATTTTCAAAATTTGACGGGATATTGAATTCAAATAAAAAAAATAATTTACGATAAACAACACCAAACGTCTCTGATATAAAATAATAAAATATATTGTGTACAACACAGCCTCATTTAAAATGAGTTTAGGAGAATCTATATGTGAAATATTGTAGAATTTTAACTCAAGTTGTCAATTTTTTTTATTTAATAATTGGTTCGTGATCTATTGTGGTGTAGCTTGCTGATCATTTGACAGCTGTATGTACTACTCTTTATGATGCAACAACTGGAGTGCTTAAAACTTAAAAGCTTAGCTAAATCTTAAAAGCTACATCACAATCAATACGGCGACATGACCCAATTTTTTGATTGAAAATGAATTTTTTTTTTAAAAAAAAATCCTAAGTGGACTTTTTTGGCTGTCACTTTAACTAATTTTGCTATCGATTTTCTGATGCAATCCTACTAAAGATATCTCAAGATCGCTGCTTCGATCGAACAAGATTGAGAAACTATAAATTTATTATATTTTTTTATATTAGTCATGATGTGTCTGTAGTAGTTTTTTGTTTTTAATAAAAGAGGCAAATCTTTGAGAACAATAAAGAATCAATAAAAAGAATTCTAAAAAATAATACAAATAAAGACACTAATCTAGATTGTCAGCACATAAATCTAAACAAAATACCAATTATGTAAATGTTTAAGAGCAGATGTCACAGGCAAAGAAAATAAATTGTTTGCAATAAATTAAAGTTTAGTGAGGGGGATCCAATTTTCGATCAAGGCTGAGAAAGCACATGGAATCCAACTACTCATTCCTTACCAGAATTTGTTTGTTACTCAAGCTTCTGTCAAGTTCATGATACACACCCACCCTTTTCCCATAATTCCCTTTCATCCTTGATTATCTACTTAATTGTGTTTATTTGCTTTAATTGCGCATTTAGGTACTTTATCTTTCTGGCGTGCAGTCTTCCTTCTCCTGTCTTGAGCAATAAATAACAAATAAATGGAGCAGATAATAGTGGCTCCCGCCTGAATATGCAGCGCGTGTTGCCACGGGAAGCATTTGAACAATAAAACGCTGTTGGATTAATGGATTGTGATGCGAAACCCACGAGCGCGTGGGTTTGCATGAATCTGAACCACTGGCGGTCCTTGTGTTAGCTACAGAATAATCAAACCTTTCAGTGGTAAGAAAGAATAATGATACTTGTCACCCCCACTCCTGTATATGTATGCTAAACCAGCCTTGAATCTCATCTCAAAGTCGTCACCCCCCCCCCCCACCGGGTCGAACCTCTCTGTGCTCAATCTGTTATCCGTTTCTTGCCTGTAAGTTTTTTGCTGCCTTTACTTTCGACATTTTCCTTTCTTTTCCCCTGCGTATTGGTGTGGCTGTGTTGTTAGTGGAAAAACATGCAATTTCTGGACTGCCTTTCTTTCCCCATGGCTTGCCATAGAAATTTCAATATGTGGATTGGCTTAAGTTTTTTTCTTTCCTCATTTATTTTCAGCTAAATAGCTGGGATTTTGAACTGATTTCCCAGTTTGCTATTTGCAAATTGCAATTGTTCTGTACTGCTACAGCTTTCTGCTCTTGATTGCCAGGTTAAAATCTTGACGAGCCCTGGTGGTGATGAAGCTGTTGGCTTTTGATGAAGGAGCGAAACACAATATCTCTTGTTTGATTTTAATGGTGGATATTTGAGAAGGGAAATTTTCCGCGAGTTGCATTCTTCCAGCATGTAGATTACATTTGAGGAAGAATTCGTGCTTTTCTTCATGTTAGTATCTGATTTGGGGACTCTGTAACGAGTCTGACTGACTGAATCAATTTAAGCGAACTTGGATAGGCTCTTCTTACTGGATTGAAAATTGGGTATCGTTTTAGAACTCAGCATATACTTAAATTTCATGCTAGAGCAAGTATCATCCTAGTGTTTCACAAGGGCTCAAGTGTCTTCTCCTGAAAGGAAGATGCAGCGTGTAAGATTGTCATCTCAACAGGCGCCTGTACTCAAGCTTGGGGATCCTCAAGTGACACTATCCCCAAAGTTTAGACTAGCCGTGGTCCAATCTTCTTTGGCTAATTCTTCACGAGAGTTGGATTTATCTGCTATAGGAGAACCCTTAATTCCGGGCCTTCCTGATGATGTTGCGCTTAATTGTCTTCTCCGCCTTCCAGTCCAGAGTCACTTTGCCTGCAGAGCTGTTTGCAAGAAGTGGCGTCTTCTGCTTGGTAGCAAAGAGAGGTTTTTCACTCACAGGAAGCAATTGGGCTTGAAAGACCCTTGGCTTTTTGTCTTTGCCTACCACAAATGCACTGGAAAAATCACGTGGCAGGTTCTTGACCTTACCCACTTTTCTTGGCACGCTGTACCCGCAATGCCTTGCAAGGATAAGGTTTGTCCCCATGGTTTTAGGTGTGCCTCAATTCCCCGTGAGGGCACTTTGTTTGTATGTGGTGGTGTGGTATCTGATGTGGATTGTCCCCTTGACCTGGTGTTGAAATATGAGGTGCAGAAGAATCGTTGGACTGTTATGAATCGGATGATTACTGCGAGGTCATTTTTTGCTAGTGGAGTGATTGATGGTATGATTATGTAGCTGGGGGAAACAGCACTGATCTTTTTGAGCTTGATTCTGCTGAGGCTTTGGATCCTCTCAGTGGTAATTGGCACTCTATTGCCAGCATGGGAACAAATATGGCACCTTACGATGCTGCAGTTCTTAATGGAAAGCTTCTTGTGACAGAGGGTTGGTTATGGCCTTTTTATGTCTCTCCTAGGGGGCAGGTCTATGATCCTAGAACTAATAACTGGGAAAATATGGCTGTTGGACTTAGAGAAGGATGGACTGGTTCAAGTGTGGTGGTTTATGGGAACTTATTTGTTGTTTCAGAGCTTGAAAGGATGAAGCTTAAGGTCTATGACATGGAAAATGATACTTGGGAAGCCATAGAAGGCCCCCCTTTGCCTGAGCAAATATGCAAACCTTTTGCTGTGAGTGCTTGTGATAACCGTATTTATGTTGTGGGTAAAAATCTTCATGTTGCAGTTGGTCATATCTCAAGACTAAACCCAGAAGAAAGTTGTACAGGAAGGCGGGGCTTCAGTGTTCGATGGGATGTAATTGATGCACCAGAGAGTTTCTCTGATTTGACTCCATCAAGCTCTCAGGTTCTGTTTGCGTAGCTTTCCATTGTTTTCCAATCTTGTATTGCAAGTATTGTTGAAGTAAAATTTATTATAAATGGCAAAGGTCTGAGGGTTGAGGTGGCAGAGTGAGAATATGCTTTTAGTTGGTGTTGAAATGCAGTAGTGGTAAAATCTTATGATTGCATTAATCATTTTCACCTTGATGAATGTTCTCTGTAGCATGATAGCTTTGTCGCAAATTCTAGTCTTGTTTGTTTTATCAAGTGAAAGCACAAATCATTAAAAGGGCAATCTTTTAATGATAACTGGCATTTCAAGCACCTGTCAACTTGGCTGAAAAGGTTCTAGTTGCTGTGATTGGAATCTCAAGCTGTGGAAAATACCATGCGGAGCAATCCCTTTATATGAATTCATGCCATGAAACCTGAGTTGCATATGTATATCCCATTTGTGGACCATATCTTGTTTCATGTTGTTTAAAGATTTCATGCAATCTGTGTTGTGTATGGAAACCTGGCCGCTTGCTCCTCTTTACTCGTCATGTTGCTCTATTTCATGTTATACTAGAGCTAAATGAAAACTATGCTGTATAAAAGGTTCAAATTCAATGGTGCTTGGAATTCTAGACAATACTGACATTGCGAGTTATGCCTCATCTAGAATCCGAGCAGCTCTTCCATTTGAAAGTTTAGAAGTAAATATGTTTTATAGCTTCCCCTAATTTAAATGAGCACCACTTGCATGTTCAATTTCCTTTGTTCATGCAATATACCGCAATTTCCTTGGAAGATTCTTCTGGGGTGACCTAAACTTGGGAAACATCATACTATAGTTCCACTCTGTGTGGGACCCTAAATATTAATAACCTCTATTAACCACTAATGTAATTTAGCAGCTCTCCGAACTATGAGTCTTGTATGCAAATGTATATTATTGGGTGGTTTAATTGGGTGGCATCCTACTGGAGTTCTACAGCCTGATTATTCTTCATGGTGGGGTAGGCATATGAGGTGAATGAATGGAACTTCTCAGTACGTTTTGCAACATTATTCACAGAACACATAAATTGAAATTGCTGCAATTATATTGGCATGCGTCTCACTTGCCCAATAGGATTCTGAGATCCATGGCTTGATAAATAAGATTCAGTTTCCAAGTTCCAGGTCCTGTACCTTTGCTGGCATTAGAAATTGCTGAATTTGGCTCCGGAAGATGAACATTTATCATGACTTTATTGAAGAAGCTAACTTATGTAAATGTTCTTCTTGTCCACATTGGCTACATGCTCAGAAATTGATTTAAGCCTTAGTCTGGCGCGACCTTATCAAGTGCTTGTTCATTTATTAATTAAAAGGCATGAGTATTGCCGAAGGATATGAATTTCTGTTATCTAAGTGGCTTGATCTAAATCTTGCTATAAAAATGAATAAAATATGTATTGGGAGTGCTAGAACAAGTGCTTCAGTTGAGGAAATGTTTGCTTGAATGGGCAGCCAAAGCAGATGCAGAAGTGGGTGTGAAAATTATGAGGTGGTTTAGCGGTTGAAACGAGTCTTTCTTTTACATAGCGGAAGATAAGGTAGGCATGAATGGATGAAAAAGATTGAGACTCTAATAATCTGATGACAGTGAAGTTTCAATTGTTTGGGATAGTCATTTGCTTCAGTGTCACCCCTCTGAGAGCAGAGGTTCCATTGTCCTTTTCCGAAGGTAAAAAATCTTGACCTTCTGGAATGAATGTCCATCACCTCATTTGCTAGTTGGTAAGTTTGGCTTCCCACCGGACAACGAACCCCTCGATTATTTTTTTATTATTTATATTTGCTTGTATTTAGATCATTTATATGGATAGATATTATATATAAACCAATACAGATAATCTTAGTGCATTTATTCAAGGGTTAATACTCTCATTTTAGTTTTAGTCCTTCAAAGTTTTTTTTATTTAAAATATTCATCCTTATAATCTAATAAAAATTTGGACTATTTTGTCTTTTGAGGGACCAAAACTGATAGTTTGAAACTTGAGAGAAAAGATAAAAATTATATTAAAGCCTTTATTTAAAACCAGATATTATGAAAATATAAAGAATATTTGTGCAATCACAATGAAGACTATCGTGGGCATGAATCATTAGTATTAAAATTAAAGATAATACTCCTCTGGTCCTTATTATAAGATCCAATTTGACTTTTTATTTGGTCCTAATTATAAGACCCAATCCATTTTCTCTCTTATATTTATGTATTTTTTCCAAGATAATCCTTCTAATGATAGTTTTAGCTAATATACTTAATTAGCAATGATATTTTAGGAATAATAATACTTATTTATTATAAATAACTAACTTAACTTACTTCCTTAATCTCCTCAAATAAGTCAATTGGGTCTTATAATTAGGACCGGAGGAGTAATAAATTACATAACCTATAGTTTGACTGAAAATCCATAATTGTTTTAAAACTTGTTTACCTGTTATATTCATGGAGCTTGATGACGGTGACATGGAAGAAGGCTATTTGTATTTTGTACACATTTCCTTTTCAAGTTACAATTATTGGATTAGGTTTTGAGATGAGATATATATATACACTTATCTGATTCTAAATATAAGACCTTTATACTAGTGTATATAAGGGTTTTATATTTAGGATCGGAAGAGTATATATTGTCTTTTCAAAATCTTATTCACCATTAGGGCCGCTTATGTAGAAATGTAAGGCAGAAGAAATGGAGCTTGAAAGATCTTCAGACACCGTCGTCTTCTTACAACACTTCCCGGTGTGTCAGTGCGCCTGTGAGGTTCTGCGTCTGTCTCAATTACGATCAAAGAGGCCCAACTTGTCCAACCAGATCCAATTACGATCCAAAAGGCCCAATCAGGTGGCCCATTACCTGATTCTTCAAGAGTTCAAGGGAACAATGAAATGAGGATCAGAGCTCAGAAGATTGCTTGAAGACTTCTCGTTCCCACAGAAAGGTAGAAAAAGAAAGAGATGGGGGCCGTGACGACGGCAGTGATAGCGATAGCCGGAGTGGTTCTGGGTTGGATCACCATCGAGATCGCATGCAAACCCTGTCTCGACAAAGGCCGTGAAGCCATCGATCGCAATCTCAATCCCGATTACGATCCCGACGACGACCTTCCTTCCTCCGCCATTCGCGCCCATCTCAACCCCAACACCTCCGATCCCGATCCCGTTCCCGTTCCTCCCCCCGCCGCCTCCGCCGTTAAATCCGTCTGAGCTGTAATGATTCTCTCCATACATTTTTTTTTTGGTTCCCCGGCCTGACTCTTCATACATAATCCACATGGTTGTTACTTTCTTTTTAAAGCAATGATAATCTTCTGTATTCTGTGTGTGATGTACTGAATTTTGGATGCGAATTTGAACAAATTATCATTAATTTTTGAATGAGTGAGTGAGAATTTATTTTTCCGTTGTGTCAACCTGATTTGAATAGCTCGTCAGATAGATGCAGTTACGGCAAGCTTGACCTCTTTCCTTCTTTTTTTTTCTTTTTTTTTGGGACTGAACGGCAGGCTTGATTCACATAAGAATTTGGAAGGAGTCAAAATACGTTGATTTCATCCTAAATTTCATCCTATATTTATCAATTTTTTTAAAATTATTTTTGTAGATAATCTCTCAATCATAATAATGAAATAGAAAAAGGAGATGAGATATTAAAGAAGATGAATATGGTGTTTTAAAAAAAACATGTCATTTTTTACAATCAACTAACTTACTTAATTTTCTTAATATAATCAAATTAGTTAAATAAATTTTATATTAAAAACCGGTGAAATACTACTAATACTGCCTGGAAAAAAATTCGAAGAATTGAAACTTTTCTTTTTTAGGAGAAAAATTAGGTCAATTAAATTTCGAGCTCATCAAAGGTTGCCTGGGGATCCCTACAATTACAAATTGTGGATTGACAAGTCATATCGGCTAAGAGATTTGAGCTGTACACCCTCCTCCTGCATGAACTAAATTCTTACTTACCAACTAGCGTGGCTTGGTTGAGAGAAAAGATTTTGTAATGAAATAAATATGACAACAGAGATGGGAATACAATTGTAATAGGTATGGAAAAAAAAATCAAATGTATAGATTTTATTATAAATTAGACTATTTAGAAATGAGACGTGATGATGAAATGCATATTTCAAGTGTTACGTAATCCGAAATTTTTTTTTGGTTGAATTGAAAAACTAAATGTATTCGTTATTTCTTTTTCTTGGCGGAATTAAATAAAATATACTAAAAAATAGATTGAAAATTTTACAAGTTAAAATGTCTCTTTAGTCCTTAATTTTCATAATTGTAACTGTACATGCAAATTATGAATCGATATCAATATTACACGCAATTTATTAAAAAAAAATAGCTTTATTTATATTACCTCTGCTTCTTAATATAAAAGTTAATTTGACATTCAATTTAATCTTAAATATAAGATTTTAATTTATTTTGTCTCTTATATGAATCTATTTTTTTAAGATAATTCTTATAGCAATTACACATTAAAAATTTTATCAAATAACAGTTCTAACTAATATGATAAAAATATTTTAAGAAAAACAACTATTTATTATAAATAACTAATTTAACTATTTTTTTATTCAAATTAGTCAATTAACTTCTATATTAAGGAAAAAAATAGTATGTTATAAATAATAGAATTAAATTCAGACTTGACAACGCAGAGACCACATCTAGTAAAGTAATAATTTTTAAGGCATTAATAAACATTACTGTTCAGTGTACTACCCAAACAATTTGTCACCTTACATCAAACGACAACTAAGTGACAACTACTTAAAGTTTTAAACCTTCGAAGCTCCAGAGAAATCCTGCTCGTTGATCATCTTCACAGACGGATCCATGGGATTATCCAAGGAGCGTCAATGGGGAAACACTGCTACCGAGGTTTCTGGGACTTCGATTATGATCATGCAACGTATAAATGGAAGGATCCTTTCACTAGCTTATCTCTAACCCAAGCAGTCCTTTGAATCATAAAAATTCTCTAATTCTTAATATAAAATATAATTAACTAATTTTTCTAGATTAATAATATTAATTAAATTAGTTAATATAATTTTTTTTAAAACATCCTAAACATCTTTTTTAATTCCCTAATAGAGTTAATTTGAAAAGAAATTAATAAACATGTAAAATAAAACTTATATATAGAACTAATATTAACTTCTCAATTAAATCATATGTAACGGACCGAAGAGTATTACCAAAAAAAACAACTGTTGTCTTGCCAATCTGCCAATTCTGCTTGGCATAAATTTTTTTTTTTGGGTGTGGTTTTTTTTGGGGGGGGGGGGGGGTTTGACTTTTCAAGTGCTGATGCCCATCTTGGACAATAATTTCAAAGGGATGAATACGCTTTACAATTCTAGTACTGTCATCAGCAATGTGAAAAAGAGGTAAGCGAGGCTGCAGGGGAGGATATTACAGAGTTACTGTACATACGACAGGGGACTAAACATCAAACCTCTCCCATGTCATTTACGGAGAAAAAAATTCATAAGCATTGTCGAGAAAACATTATGCGAGGTAATTGTATATCTGAGAGTTGCTCTTGTCCCTCTCCAGGTACTCCCTATCGATGAGGCTTTCAATCCGTTTCTTCAAATCAGTTGGTTTTATTGGAAATTTCAGCTGTTCACCAAAATAAGTCCAGTATCGATAAGTACTATGTCTTTCACAACACAGAACCACTTGAATATTTATTATGTGAAATTATTTTAAAGATGGATGAGTTTACCTGTTGGAAGAGTTCAGTAATAAGAAGGGTGTGGCTCAGCACTTTCCTTGTCTTCATTATCCTCACAATGGCTGCATCAATCTGCAACGAACCATGCCAAGAATACGAAAAAGTTACAACCATCGTTTTCCACAACATAGACACACACAAGATATACCAGAAACCTGCCAAGTTGGCCTGTTATCACTTATCAATCATTGCACAACTTGAATGCGCGATCAACCATGCTAGCAGTTACCAACTACGTTACAGAACATCATCGGCTGTTTTATTTCCTTAATGTCAATACATATACGGGGCACACAGTACCCTTGGCTAAGCTGGCAAGTTAACACCCGCCGGCTTATTTTTATGTTTTCATATTTCAAAAACCCCTCCCACCGAAAAAAGAAAAAAAAGGTGCGCCCGCAGAGAACAGGACGTGCTATGTCCGTGCTAAATAATGAAAAAGACTACTTACCTGATACTGACGATCTTGGAAAACTCTCTCTGTAGTACTGGTGTTCTCCTCCACCGTTTCCTTCATCTGAATTGCATTAACCTGTATTCCAAGACACAGGTAGCTTTAAACAAGACCTTGTAATGATAGGTTAATACGATTAAAATCCGTTATGAGCTGAATTTTATGAGCGTACAAAACCCCACTGCTAACTTAAATGGAAGCTTGAGATTCATCTATTCTGATTTCTGATCCCTAATGTTCTACAGAAGAAGTGCCAGTACCTTTATGCGGTAAAGAGGAGCTGTAAATGCATCATTAAAAACAAAGGAGTCATCATCCTCCACATCTCTCCCTTTGGGTAACTGTCGCATGTTCATCAAGGGAATTCGCATTAGGAGATAAAGAGACCACAATTACAAATAATAATAATAATAATAATTCCACAAAAGGCCACACACTTTTTGCAGGACGCGAACTTTTCCACATGCTAGGGATTGCAGAGTCCTTCTCAGCTCCTTATCCTCAATACCAGAAGCATCCTTGACATCTTGAAAGCTTAGCCTCTCAGCATCATTGAATAGCATTAAGACAACAGTCTGGAGCACGTCACACAAAACAAACCATAATGTGTAAAATGAGCAATGCAAGGTATGCAGAACCAATAAAAAGGTAGCGTGAAATAAAATATAGGTGAGAACATGAACTTCTGAATCTTGATTTCAGAAAGCCCACCTGAAACAAAGACACGGCCAATTCCTTTTTTCCTTTAGGAAACTCGGCCTTTAAGACACAGTGACCTAATGAATTTTGCCACATCAGACGCCTTCCACTGTATTTGCTTAGATAGAATTCTTTGAAAATATCCTGGTAAAGAGAAAGGGAGGAAGAGGAAAATGACTAGGTTGGCGATGCCTCTCAAAGTATCAAGACCGCCAAAAGATAAAGAGTAGTCATTCATGCTTATGCCGAACCTGGTACACATTTAATTCATGAGGAAGCCTGACATCCATGGGTGGATACGTTGGCCAGTACCTGGACTCATTCAACAGAACCAATTAGTACCCCTACAAAAGTGAGCCTGTAGAAGTTAATGAAGGTTACAGATAAGAAAGGGAAGACACAAAGTTACCCTGTTGTTAAGACATGAACACTCATTTCAATTCCTGATGGAAGTTTTGTCCTCGCCTGGGATGACTGTTTGAAGGACTCATTTATTTCTTTTGATAATTCAATGTCCTGAATTAGACAAATTAGGAAAATTTGCAAGTTAAGGATACGGGTTACAGTGATCCCAGAAGCAACTAAAATCATTAGCATTCACAAAGTACGCATGCAAATTTATAAAAACCTAACACAAGATTTCAAGATAAATGCGAATTTATCATAGAAAGATAACCAAATATTTTTTTTAGCGTGTCTAAGAAAGGCCATTTAATATGTCTACCCTTTTCCCCTTCAAGGTAGCTGCATGTCGCTGTAATGCTATCAATGATATGCGCATGAGTGCACTTAGTAAATAGCACAAAACATGCCATAAAAAACATAATGGAATATTATTACGTCTATTAATTGAGAGTTTTGCTCATTTAATTAAGAACATGTAAGATTATACGACCATTTTCAAAGTGACTAAATAGTCAATCTAAATCATTACCTTATATCCCTCATGCAATGATTTTATTTTTATTGCAAGAAATACTGAATATCGTACGTCAATTTTTCAAAGTAGAATCCATGTAATCTGAAATACCAGAAAACAATTCGTCTGATTTCCACATTGATTCTCTCATTCCCCTAACTAGGAAAGGGTGAGATTCCAAACCAGGCTCAAATTCGACTGATATAAGTTAAGTGTAGGTGATATTAAAATTTTTACAATTCCTCCCCAACTCAAATTCCATGTCAACTACTAGTAATAAATAAGAGAAGAATAATTTAAGGCTGGTAAAGAGTAGACCGCTATCTAGTCCTCATCAAGCATAGACACAAAAAACTAAAAAGCAGTTGTTAAAGACAAAAGATATATGCATTAGATAACTTGGGTACAGAATTTGAGTAACACTTACTGAATTAAGAATTCAAACAAAAAGAGATACCTTGAACATTCCTTCCAATTTGTTTGTAAACTGGCTACCACACTCGGTCTTCAGCTGCATTATCAATGGGCAGCTAATCAATAATGCTATATGTCGCCACAGATCTATCTATCCGCCGCAAAAAAGTCAGTATGGGGAGAAATTCTTAACCTTGGAGATCATAGATTTTTCTGCATCAATGGAAGCACTTTTTCCTAAAAGCAGTCTCTTCGCAAGATCTTTCTTATAGAACGCTTCAAACACGTCCTTGCCCTTAAGCAGCAATAAAGTCAAGCAGTGTTCCCAATATGAGAATGGAGAGGAATATTAACACAAGTACATGATAACAATTCCAAGATACAAGGAATAAATGTTAGTTACTCAGACTGACAATGAACACACATACCTGAATGAACCTGAATAAAACCAGAACTCTATCAAGTGTGCCCTCCAATTCCTCTTCAGAAGTACCCTTGTTACCTGCACGAAGCTTCTCATCCAAAAACTTAGCAATCAGCTCTGCTGGTCGGTTCTGTCACAGGAGGGAAAAAAGCACAACTCTATTAGTGCATGCTAATCGTACCCAAATAAAAACCAAAAATGCATGTCAAAGAATCACATGATTTGCAACATGCTCAAATAGCTGAGGATCAAAAGGTTCATTTAAATTATGTTCACAAGCCCCTTCATACAACAAGTTGTTGAATGTAATCCCATGAATACATTTCAAAAACAGATACATCTCATCAATTTCAATTTTTTGTCCTCACCCCTAATTTCTTCTTAATATGTCAACATGCCCTGTGTTTGTTCCCTCTTTTGATTTCCTTGGGGCTTATTCGAGATATGTTTCAGGTTTGATGATTTTTAAAGGTTTCAGATGCTATTTCTTCTCATTCACTTATAGTGGATATTAGTAACCATATCTCACAATACTGCTGCTTTTATGGTTTAGAGCAGAAAGGGGTATTTTGGTAATAAGCACCTTAAGTATCTCAGTGGGAACTGAAAACCTAAGGAAAGGTTAAGAAAAAAGAGAACTGCTCCAACTAAGTAAAGCTAAAACTTATATCAGCAGAAGCTTTCTATCTGGGGATCGAATAACTAACAAGAGAACCAGAGAAGACAACGGAAAGTACCTGACGAAGATTGATAAGATGCTCAAATGAATCTTTAATGGTGTTACAGAATGCTTCATTCCTGAAAAAGCTTTCTTCCAATATTTGGTCAAGAGAAGCCTTAAAGTCCAGAAGGGAAGAAACCATATCTTTGTCTTTCTCATCATCCGTCACAATTCCCTGCCCAGTTCCCTTGATGTATGAACTCAATGCTTGCCTTAGTGATTCAAGTGCATTAACCCTTGAAAAGAGTGAGTACATTCTCTGAAGGTCTTCTACACGATTTGCATCCATAAGCATCATAAAACCCTGTAAATTTCAAAGAAAATGAATAATTAAATGCCATAGGAAAAAAGTGCATGTCATTGCAGCAGAGATTTCACCCAAAAAATAATCCAAAAGTTGGTGTTAGACAGCACCTTATCAAGAATGGCAGGAATATGACGCTCAAGAAGTTGCTTTTCCGTTGTTGCTATTAAGGGCTTCCTAGTACTTGCATCTAAGTAGATCAAGCATCTCTCATGTTCTTCATGCAATCTAGTCTACAACAATGGTATACAGCATACCCCATCAGAAAACAAACATTGTGAGACACGGCATGGCAATAACACGGAAAAGGGCAAAAAAATTGGTCAGATAAAATTCTGACAAGACATGACATGGCATGTTGCATTTATTGAGGAATTAATAAGGAGGGATGTAGCAGGATCAAAGACTAATGTAGAGAAGAAATAAAGTGGCTAGGAAGAAAAAAACCTCAACATGCTTCAAGTAGTCTGGAACATCTGATTGCTGCATGTATTTCACACCTTCAGCAGCATAAAATTCAGATGTAGCTTCAAGGAATGGCTTCTCAAAGCTTTCTGCATAAGTTCCTAGAGCAGTAAACATCTTCAAAAGATGTTTTAGAAGAGTTCTATCCACTGCTTCACCTAATCTGAAAAAGCAGGGGGGAAACTGAAGAAAGTAAGCTGCAAGGCATGTTCAAGCACTCAGTTGCCTTATTCACACACTGATGAATGAGCCAAAAAAATTACCCATATCAATAAAAACTTTAATTCTCAACTCACATGAGAAATTGCAAGCAAGAAAGTGAAAATATATATATTAAACTATTAACGTATATAAGAACCATTAGCAAGGAGGCAACATATCCCTCACTGAATTAGACTTCTAGACAGAGAAGGTAAGAAGGTTAGTCAAATGTAATGGAATATATTAATCTAGCCTTTATCCCTTGCATATATGCATAAATCATTATATAGATAAACAATAGACCAAAACAGTATTCACAAATTATTCTTTGTACTCAACACATTCCAGAAGCTCCAGATATATTTTATAAAAGTAAAATAATGAGCATATTTATGAATGCATACATGAGTACAAGGATGAACCTGCAGAAAACGGGTTTATCAGTCATTTATAAGACCGAGCATACAAAAATGAGATTACCTTTCACTCTCAATCATTCGTAGAACACCAGTAACAGTTTTGTGCTCTACTTCTGAAGACAGCGAAAGATGTTTGCGGAAGAGTTGCAAGCCCATGTCCCATAATGAGCGTACATTTGTTGTTTGCTTGACATATGTCCTATCCAGATACAAGGCTATACCACGAATCATCAGCATTTGGTCACAAAGGTCCTGCCAACATTTCTCTACAAGAGATAGAAAAACGCCCAAGTCTGGGCTTTGGCCAACCAAAGACTGGAGCGCAGCAGATATGTGTGATTCACACTCCTTTTCAATTCGTTGATAGAGACTTCCCCCCATTTTATGAAGGCAAAGATCATTCACAGCCTATACACAAATATTATTTGTTTTCCGTTAAACTCTAATGAGCTAATGTGTGATGAGTATTCACACAGTTTAGTTAATCATATAAAACAAAAGAATAAAAAAAATATTTTTTAGATTACCTGATAAAGGTTCTCTAAGTCACAAGAATCGGGTTGCTTCAAGAATATAGCACAAACGGCTGACTTCAACTTAGCCCATGTATGCTCCTCAAAATTCGGAGGGAGGGTTGGTTTAGCTTTACAAGGAAAACAGAAAGTTTGAGTAATACGTATAGATAAATAGAAGTCACCTCAATCAGTTTCACGTTTTAAATTATTAACAACAGTGCCGTTAATGCATTTTGAAAAAACTACTGAGACTAATAAAGTAAAGTAATTTCAAAGGAACAAAAGAAGTTAGAAGTACTAAGACTATTGCTTTGTTAGATTACATGCTTTGTCGGCATGTTTAGTGTAATCATAAGGCAAATATGAAGATCATACTGTTAAAGCACAGAACCTAGCCAGAACGTGGAAGGAAGTTATTGACGGATATCTCACAACATAAAAAGATTTAATAGCAAGAGATTAATTGTGGGCCAACCCAAAAATCATTAATTCAAACACGATGAAACAGTTGAATCAGATCGAACCATAGTAGTAATCTATCAGATGAGAGACAGCTAAGATTAACAATGGCTGCAGAGGTCAGAACTATCATTGCAAAGTTGTAGTATGCTGTAATCATAACACCATAAAGTTAAAAAAGGCTCAAAAGGCAGGAACCATTAAATAGCATGTCAATGTTTAAAGTTATAAAACAAATATATGCCCAAGGAAATGAAATCCTTGACTCTCCTAAGGTCAGCATAAATTATGAAAAGCATTCAACATAGCACGGCTATAGAGCAATAATTGTTTTTCATTTTCAAAATTGTAAATCGAAATTTTCCTAAGCTAGAGTCTATAAGTACAATACAGAAAAACGGAACTAACAATTGAGCATTGTCATGTTATTCTTTAACTTAAATCTGGTTATGAGAAGAATGAAAGGTAAATCTTCTGAAGCTATAGAGAGGAAAAAAAATAAGAAGTTACAATTGACAAATTAGCACAGATGATGCTTGAAGATCAGTATGCGATGCAGCTGGTGCTAAGATAGCATCCATTCTATATCCATTGCCACAGTACTGAGAGTGACAATCACTAATTTTCACATCCAAGGGCTATAAGAACAATGAACTCAACCCTAGAATACCAAACACAGCTCATTTCCATTGAAAGATAAGCCTTTAATTGAAATCCACACTCTAATAAGACTTGATCTTAATTCCATGGTGCAAATTGCATAAACCGTCCACATAATTCATTTTTTCCTCTTTCCATCTCTTGTAGAATAAACAACTAAAATTTATTAAAGTACAGCCATTACAATAGATTACAATGATGTGTAAATCAAGATTTTGAAAGAGTAACAATTAAAGAAGCAAAAACCTCTTAACATTCAATACATAGCCACACCCACTAAACCCTCGATAAGTAAAAGATTTTAAATTGGATTAAATCACTCAGCTACTTGAGCACCCAAAACGGAAAATTTAAAGAGAAATGGTGGAAGTGGCACAAGCCGGACATGAGGAATGGAGTCCTACCTTTATGAAGCTTGATAAGGAGCTTCTTAGGTGGCTGAGGAGGCGTAGCTTTCTTCCGGGACAAATTGGCGGCCATGATCCCGCGCGCATTGGGGAGGGCAGTGGGGTCGTCGGTCTTGAGATCCTCATCTAGGCCCAAAGAGGAGGGGTCGTACACGACGTCGTCGGAAGCAGCTAAGCCCTGGTGGTGGTTGTGAAGGCCATTCTTGCAGTCGAGAGAACAAGCGACGGCCTGCGACTTGGCCTTCTTCATCAGGGGAGAGAGGGTGACGGGAGAGGCAGCGACGGAGCTGCTGGAGGCGATGGAGTCAGAAGTGTTGGTAGGGGCGGAGCGTTTGGTGGGAAGAGACATGAAACTAATCAAGACGGCATTGCAAGTGACAGAGCCAAGACGACGAAGATAGAAGCCCACAGAACATGATTTGGGAGATCGCGGTCCTGGGCGAGTGAGCCGCAGCCATTTTTCCCACCTTTTTTTTCAATTACGGGGAGTAAAAATAAACATCCAGCTTTTAATCTTTTATTTTTTTTTATTAAATATAAAATTTTAATTTATTTTGTCTTTAGCTAATATATTTTAAGCAAAAATATTTTAGAAAAGACATTATTTATTTATTACAAATAACTAACTTATTTAATTTTCTTAATCTAATGAAATTAATTAATTAATTCTTATATTAAGGGTCAGAGATAGTATTTATTTCTTTTGCCACCAACTTTTATATATTTATTGAAAATATTAAAACTTCATTGAGTAAATAGTGATTAATTAGATAATAATTTTATTTTTTGATTGCTCACAGTTATTATTGGTGCCAATCCTAGTAATAATTTTACTTTATATGGATTTTAGAGTTTTGTCAAGTGGTTATTTAAAAAAAAAATAACTAAAAGCTAAGAGGAAAGAATGACAATGGAAGGTTCAAATCGTGCTAATTAATTAAAAAAAAATTTACAGGAAAATTTTCATAAAAAAAGTTTGACATTACTAGATCTCAAATAATTTTTTTTTGTAAAAATATATTGTTATTTGCAAATCAAATGTTATCAAAACTTATTAAAATGTAAAAACTAGACAATTTAATAATTTTAAACTTTTTTGTAGGATCCTCTTTTTTTCTTTTTTTTTTAATCTGACTATTTCAGGGGGTGTGTAAATGGAAGTCAAACCATGATTTTAAAAGTACTTGTATGGTATACAAAGTAAATATGTAGAGAAATATGCTTTGTTTTGCAGAAAAATGCTTTTAAAAAGTATTTTTTTCATCTTGCCAAACATCCCCTCAATCTAACTACAAAATCAATTCTTTCATTCCTTGGCTCTCTAATTCCCAAGTTTCACCTGTGAGTTTTGTTTTAGTTAGTGTGCGAACTTCAGTTAATACAAAGGAGAGCAATGTTTAGAAAGGAGGATAAAAGATTAAGAGGGTGTTTGGATAAAAACAAACCATAGTTTGAAGAATAGTTTCTGGATAATAGATTTGAAGAACAGATTTTATGAAAAATAGATTTTGTGAAAAGGTAATTCTAATAAAGTGAGAGCGTTTAGATAGTTATTATCAAAATCACTTTTTATATGTACAAATTACTAAAAAGGATATAAATTAATATGATAATTACATAAAAAATATATTTTATAATATATTTTGATTTCAAAAAATAAATTTGTTAATAATATATATTTTTACCAACATAATTAATAATATATAAGAAAATATAATTGATAAATAATTAATATGTGTATATATATTTATAAAACATAAGATTAAATATGTTTATAGAATCAGGATATGAACTCTCTCTCTCTCTCTTTGTTTTTTTTTCTTTATTTTTTTGTGGTCTCTCCTTACCTATTGAGATGTGGCACAATGGTACATTTTTCAGAAACAAAAGCTCATAAAATCTAAGCGGCCAAACGACAACATCTGAAACTTTCATTAAAAAACAGAATTACAGATAATTACAAGGATTACAAATATGATACACAAATTTAAAAAACTAACGTAAACTACATGAACCAAAAACATGTCCTCTGTCTCCGAACCCCCAGAAACCGAACAGAATGAACAAGATGACATGGTTTGAACACAGCAAGCAAAACAAAACCAACTATAAACCAAGCAAAACAAATGCAGCCAGTATTGAAAATCAACCCATCAGTGAAACAAAAAGTCAACTACCACTAAAGTTTGCTCACGTTTCAGGTGAAACCAAGCAAAAACAGCTATGAACCAAGCAGCATACCCCCTCAAGCTAGCACTAAGAAGGAAATCTGAGAATGAAACAGACCTATGAACCACGAAAAAAAAAAAGATAAAGAAAAAAAGAGCACCAAACGATGCATAACATGTTGGCAGAACATCTATGAACTAACCAAAACAGAGAGTAGCAGGAAATTGATTTCAGGATATCGACGCAATTGAGAAGAAGAAAATGCATGAGGGAAGAAATGATTATTCAAGAGGAGACACCTTACCTGAGTGCCGAATCTGAGCCAGGGAACCATTGACTGTGACCTCACCAAACCACCACCAGAAGATGCTTCACAACAACAAATCCAACCCAGCAACGGACGGATCCGATTACCTAAGGGGTGATCTTCTTCTGCAAAGCAAAGAAATCTCTCATCGGCGCCTTCAAACCGAGACTCGACTACCACTTCACTGATGGCAAGGTGCTGTGTCTCAGGAGGACCAAAGGAGGAATGGATTTTGAGGAGCGAAGGACCAAAGGCGGAAAGAGAATGAAAACAAGGAATGAATAACTGAGGGATATATCCATCTGTTAAAAAAAAAAATCACATATCCATTGGAATGGGTTGGAATGGACTCTGACACTCTCCAATTTTTGAGCCAAAAGCATATTAATTTCATTTTAGCATAAACTATGGTTTTTAGACCAAAACCATGATTTGTTAATTTTCCTCTTTGTTTGACAAATTTTGCTTTGAGTCCAAAAACCATGGTTTAGGTAATTTGCGAAACAGACTCTAAATCCTGGGAACTAAAATAATATGTTAATGGGAAAATCAAGGCCACATTAGACTGTAATCTCTTCAAAATAGTACGAGCTCCTTTCCCAAACCAATCAACACAGTAGTTTCCTTATCTATTTGGCTAATCATATTACAGTGGTCTCGCTATTTGGCAATTGGCATAGCTAGTTCTCTTTTCTCACATTTTCGTTGCCACTTGGTTGCCCCTCTCGGATGCCAACTTCGCAGTGCTGGACACGTAGACCTTCTCGTATCAATTTCACCGATAGCCTCTATAATATTTTTTTAAAAAAATAATGATAAACATGAATAGACACTAAGATATAATACAATTTAAAAATGACAAAATAATATATAGAATAATTTTTATTTTTTATAAAACCTCTAAGCCATAAACATTACTATCCTGTCTTTAATATACGATCTAGTTTATATTTCAAATTGAATTACAAACTATAACTATATTAAGAACTAGAAAGTACTAGTATTCTTTTTCAGATGAAAGGGGTGATTTTATTGCTGAAAAAGTAGTACTACATCCGATTTTTAATATAAGAGTTCTTTTAACTTTTATTTTAGTCATAAATATAAGATCACAATCCACTTTACCTCTCATGTTTATCTATTTTTTCTCAAGATAGTTCTTCTAATAGTTCTAGTTAATAGATTTGATTAACAAAGATATTTAAAAAAATAATACTTATTTATTATAAATAATTAACTTAATTTATTTTCTTAATCTATTCAAATTAATTATTATTATTATTTGCCATAAAATCTCCTGTCAAATTGTTTAATTAGAGGGAATTTTGGACACTTGACAGTTGGGCCGCTTACATATAGGTCTGCTTTACTCACATTTATTGCCGTTATAGTTGACCCGGCACAATTTTAGGAACACTTTTTTTTTTTGGTGAATAAGGACGTAAGCAAATTGAGTTATAATGGAACATGAACTATTAATGCTAAGCTCATAAGAAATAAATTAAATACAAATCATACAACAAATTTGTACTCTTCTAGTAGTCCCTCCTGACTTTAGTTATTTGTAACTTTGAGGAATTTAATCGATATTAATTTTTATATGGGGTTTATTTGTAATTTTCAGATCCACTGACAGTCAAAATAACAAATGATTAGTCAAGAACTGCTCCATCTTTTGGATTTAGAAGGCAATATTGCGTCATCTTTCATTTCATGGGTGACTTATAGTGCAAGGTTGTAGGGATAATAAATTTACGCATTAACCCTTAGTCAAACGATTCAGCACGATAGTCCGACATCTAATGATCCAGAGCTTAAGTTCAAATACACAACATAAATTAAGAACATGCATGTTTGATAAGACTGCATAATCAAGTTTTTTTTTTTTTCCTTGCATCAAGTTACCCAGAAGTTTCATTTGCCTTATATTTGTATCTAAAACTGGCAAACAAATTTGATACATGGAAGTCAAACGGGCAAACACGTGCTGCTCATATATATGGTTTTGTGGTTTGAAAATTGTGAAAAATGGCCCCATAATTTTGACGGCGACGGTTTTCTTTCTATCCCAGTTTGGGTATTCGATCAGAATCATCATCTTAGAATGTGATTTAACTTAACGAGAGACTATCTATCCATTGCTCACTCTAATCTTAAATATATCAACTAGTTAAGGAATTAGTTTGTATTCTTAATATAAAATCTCAATCTATTTTTTATCACAAATTTATAATTATTTTGCCAAATAATTTTATTGACAATACATATTAGAGGGAGTTTTCATTAATCAAGGCAATTTTCAACATTAAAGGGATATTTAGGGTAACTAACACATACTTATTACATAATAGCTAATTTAATTAAAATATATAAATTAGTTATTTAGCTCACATATTTACTACTCAATAGTGCTTATTACCATATAAATAGTGTGAAGAGGCAGATTATGCGAGTAGTTTGCAAATAGTAGAATATTTTTAGGATGCATAATTTAATAAGAAAATCCTAAAAAAATGATTGTTGAATTTCAAAATTCTAAATCAGTATTAGTTACTGTACTTGTAAAGAAAATGATTACACCTGAAAAGCAAATAATAACACATTTTTGCAGTAATTTTTTATTTAAAATTTTAAAATTTAACAGTCTTTTTTTGGGATTTTTTCTAATTTAACTAGCTATTGGTGTGTTTGGCGTGAATAATTTAGTTATTCATGTTTAATCATTTAAGGGATTGATAATTGGCTATGCAGCAGACTTGACTTTAAATTATTTGATGTTGAAATTAAAGAGTAACATTATTGACGCTATGACTACGCAGGCTAGCATAATTTTTATGTAGTGCATGTGATGCATGCACTGAAAGGGTTATTCGTAGGTGTCGGTAAATTATTAGACGCTGTCCCATATGCCTGTATGCTTTTCGGAACCTAAAAGGAAATAAATCACTCCTTTTATGATTAATTAATAATTCTAATAAGCTGTTAAAGTACTTATGTTTTAATATTAATTTACTCGTATGTTGAAGAAAATACAGCGATTCAATATGTGAGACATTCTTTCCAAAAGTGAATTGAGGTTATGCAGAATTCTTAACAAATTATCTGTGTCATGCGTGTTACGCTTACCAAATGAATTAAGGTGTGCTTACTGTGGAGCATTGAGAATTATGAGAAGTAATGATTAGATTTAAAAAACTCATTAAAAAAGTGTTTAGTATAAGGAATTGCTTGTTACTTAGGATTAGGTCAAGTGATTCCTTGTATTAAACACTCTTTTAGTAAGTTTTCTTAATTATAATAGCTCAATTCTTGCTTTTCAGTTGATTCTTCATATCAAACGGCACCTAAATATTCCGCCATGTCTTTGATGACATACAGTCTCATCTACATTAAGAGACAGCAATTCCACTCTCCAAAAATATCTTTTTTTCCCCGTATTAATACAAATTGCAGAATTCTTCATCGTTGATTTGGCTTTTCTCAGTCATAATAAACGCAGACTCGCCAAAACCTCAAATGAAACTAATGATTCTCTCCACGTTTTATTTCATAAGAGAGAATTAAGTATATGTATTGTTGATCATCTACGACTGAGATTAACAGAAGTCTCTTTTAAGATCAAAGTCAAAGGAAAAACATATACTTGGCGTGCTGAAATTTGAGCCTATACGTGAACAAGTCCTCGCTGGATTCATTGATCACACTCACACGTATACTATATGCCATATAATAATACCTGTCTTAGCTCTCTTTAAAGTTTCTCCGTTCAACTTCTCCATGGTCCCCTCTGTTGAAATTTCTCTCCCTTTGTCCCTTTCTTTTACATATTCGACACACCTCATCATGCCATGATCAAACGCCCTTGCCAAAAATAATTTTTTTAAATGACTGGACTAATTATGTGCAACATATATTACACACAGGATGTATAAAATTATCAAATTAAAGACTGCACATAATAGTGTGAATAAAACTGTAAATAAAAAAATAACTTTTGTTTTGCTCGTATATTAATTTTAGAAGCATATATATATATATATTAACTATATACTTAGTTGACACGCATGTATAATAATATTGTGTTATCTAGACTTGATTATTAACTTTGAAGCGGGAAGACGCAAACGATGTTCGAGAAGGTAGAGAAAGACAAAGTTTTGGAGGCACGAGGCAGGAAGCAAACAAATTTTCAAGGCGCGTGACTGGAATAGAGGACCAGAGTGGGAGCCGTTAAATTCCGGGCGGGTAAGATTATTTTGTGTCCATTACGTCCTTTTCTGAGCTGCGCATTATATTATATTAAATAACCATGTGTTTGAACTTGACCACCCTCACGATTCCAAGTTGCTGGCTTTGTCTTTGGCTTTGACTTAGACTCTTGCTGGTTCTTCTCTTGACCAGTCTCTTATGACTGCCTCGGATTTAGATTCCCCCTCTTATATATATACATATATATACCGCCCACACACTATACTACTCAGCACTCCAAATCACACGCAGTTCAAGGACAAGCAAGCCCTCAAACTTAGACAAATATATTATAAGAGAAATGGGAAGTAGTGGGAAGCGCGAAGGAGGGGTGAAGATTGTTCAGATCGAAACCAGGTACGTTGAGACGGATGCTATGAACTTCAGAGACGTGGTTCAGAGTCTGACAGGGAAGAATTCATCCACGGCTTGGGTGGGCAGTGGCTCCAAAGCGCCACATGCTTCTGTGAAATCAGAGGAGTTTCAGCTTCACAATCACGATGGGAGAAATAATAGTGTTAAAGAAGCTGAGGCTTCTTTGTCTTCCATGATCCTCAAGAACACCACGACGTCGTTCAAAGATTTTGATAGGTTGCTGTACGAGTTGCCCCCCTGCACCGAGGATCTTCCGTGGCTAGTAGGCCGATGAAATATCGCAGCCTAATCTTATCATTTATCCTTTTCCCCCCTTGGAATTCTCTTGTTCAGCGCAGCTAAAGGTACCGGCCGACACATTGTATTAATGCAGTAGTTGTTTTATTAATGAAAAAGCTAAGGTTTCCTTTCCTCAGAAGTTTTCTTCGTTGGTGTGCTTGGTTCTGTTAATTTAAATGTTGCTGCGTACAAGTTATTCACGGAATGCAGATAAGCAAGTTGTCCACTGGACAAACTTGGACACCGATGTCTTGTCCATGTTAAGTGTGGCTCGTCTCTGGCCTCACAGTTGGGTAAACCCCGCACACAATAATGCAGCTAATTAACACCAAGCTACGCGCGCTCACAACTGATTCTTCTTGAAATTCAGTTTTGCGGCTGAACTCTTCATACTGAATTTTCAATGTTAAGAGTTCATTTGAATTAATTCCATTGATATATTTTTATTTGTTTTACATCGGTGATATAAGGCAGATCAAGATCAGTAAAGGCACTGGCCTGGGCAGATACCTATAATAATAACTAAATTGTTGATATTAAAAAATTAGTTAAATTAATTTTTTGTAATAAATTAGTGTTATTTTTTCTAATATATTCTTGTTAATCATATGTATCAGGATGAAAATGAAAAACAATTTAACATGTGTAATTATTATGAAAATTATTTTTAAAAAATAAATAAGGAGTGTCGGTAGTATTTGATGACGCAGTGGATATAATATCTTACCATTGAAACAATTTGAGTCGGATGCGTATTGTCCGCTTCTGTGTTAAAAACGAGGCAGGGAAATGGTGCTTGTCAGACGAAGTAGTTGGGTTGATCTGACTATCACTATAATGCCACGTCACTCCACTCCAAGATCCCCATATCCGCAGTCGCAGCAAAAAGGTCGCTCCTTTCCTCAAATCAAAGTCTTTGCTTCCATTGCTGACAGGTTTGACCAACTAGAAGGTCCAATTTTAACGTTTATCACAGTAAAAAGCTCTGCGAGGCATCCCTATGATAAATAATACTAGCATTTAGAAGATTATCTCTGTTCTAAATTCAATATCTACTTAAATAAAAGCTATTTAAAATATAAAAACAAAATGATATTAAATATAGGGAGAATTACAATGAGGTCCCATACAAGAAAAAAATTACAAAATAAGTCCCAAATGTTGTTATTCTCCACTGTAGAACTTGTCATTAGAGACTGCACAGGTTGTGATTGGATCTTTTAGTAGTTATTTCTCTTACATGGCACTTGATTATAATTCTCCCTTAAATATATCCCATCCAAACTTCATGTTGACTGTATTGATTGCTTATCATTATTATTATCGCTTTATCTATTTTTTTAAATTTCTTTTACCCTCTATTCAAAGAACTAAGATCTCGTTTGGCATGGAGTATTAAAAATGAGAGATAAAAATTAGGATTATAATTAAAAAAATATTAAAATAGTATTTAATATGAGTAATTGTTTATTATGTGGGGTTAGGTAAACCTATAGGGTGAGATTGGGAAATACTACTTTCCCTAATAGTATTCCTTATACATGGGTTCGATTAATCTCATGTAATAAGTAATTTTTTATGCTAAACACTTTTTTAATAATTTTTTCTCAATCTCAATTTTAATTCCCATCTTTAATTTTTAATACTTCCTATCAAATGGTGCCTAAGCATCTATCCATCTCACTGTGTTCGCTTTTGAAAAACATGCCAACCTCCTTAATAACACCGAACTGTTGAATTTGAAAGTTTATTTATTATTGGGTAAAATATTCCAAAGCCCACGATCGAAAATCGGTAACTCCCAGAATCTGCAAAATCAATTGCCCTGACTTTTAATTAGCGCAACCTCAGAACATTATAATTTATAAACATGATTTCCTCCTTCGCAGAACAAATCAGAGCCAGGAGTGTAATTTCGGGAAAAAGAGGGGGGATATTTAAATTTGTGAATTTCGGAGCTTTTAACAAACAAAAACATTGGATTCTCGACTGAGTTTTCTCCCTGAATGAAAAATGAGAGGTCGTTGCTGAACCAGTGAGAGACGAAGCCATAACAGATCAATCTCGACGTCCAGTTGCGAGGGCAATAATCACTAATCAGGGAAGTGGGCTTTGAAAATTCAAAAGCCACATCAATGACGTGGCATTTTAGTGATCATGGATCCGTCCCTAAGACCGATCACTATGGCCCAATTCTATTGATAAAAAATACCCTTTCGCATTTTTGAATGCCCAAATTTACCCCTATCCTCAGACCCCTACAATCTGACCACCCAAACCCAATAATTGCTGACCCTGAACAGTATGTTGACTTCAGTTCTTTGACTCGTCCAGGCTCAATTTATGATCGTTTGGCCCAAAATTGGGATCATAGAAATTTTTGCCAAGAAGGTCAACGACAGGATCCACGTTGCTTATTTTTAATGATTTATTTTGAGAAAAATAAGGCTTATTTGCACGACATTTTATTAAAATTAAAACATGATGAGCTTTCGAATGACAACCGAGGTACTACTTCTTTTGTAATTTTTTTTCTTTTTCTTTTTAAAGCAGCTGGGATTCAAGCCGGACATTGCGACTCTTCATTAATAATATGGCGTGTTGTATTATATAAATCATTTTTAATACGAATAATAATTAATAACCTATCAATTAAAATACAGATGCACCGTGCGTATGTGCGTGAGATACAGGGCAATATAGCTGAAATCAAGATTCAAGGAATCTGGTGGGCAAAAGGTTTGTCCAATATCCAACAAAATGGGCCGTAAGCTAATGGAATCAAAGCCTGCTTTCGCTCAAGAGAAAGGAAGGGGGAGCTTTTTGATTTTATTTAATCAATATCAAATATGTAAAATTTAATTTTATTTCTATCATTCTTCTTTGTATCATAAAAAAAAAAATGTGTGGTTTCATTTCCTCCCACTCTACTCCATTCCATTCTCATTCTTTTTGTGCTTTAAAAATATACTTCTCCAATTCTAAATATAAAACCCATTTTATAGTGTAATATGCTTATATTCTGATATGTCTATTTTCATACTCCTCCCGTTCTTTTTTATCATATACAAACAGCTAAGCTATGTAGATAAAAACGTGGGATAAAATTAAGGGTTTTTTTTTTAAAAGCAAAAGAACAAAATTAAGTTTAATCTGATAAAATTAACTTTAATTTGAAATTTAAGGTTTTAAGTGAAGATGAGATGCTATTCGGCAGCTTTTAAGCTGCTTCCCTAAAGACGTTTTTCACACGAACTCAAGATTTCATGCTTAATTGATTAAACTTCTTCCGTCAGGATCAACATCCGCTATGAACCCATTTGTTTTCCCCTCTCCTTTCTGGGCATTACTCCTCATTCCCTCTTTGCCCTCCTCAACCCTTCTTAATCTCTTATTTCCATCATACCATAAACCTGAATGTGTGAAAACATTATCCTGAAAAAGATCAGAGCTTTATAATTAATTTCTTTACACCTACGTACTCTTGGATATATCTTAGCCCCTCTAAGCTTCATCCAAAAGTTACATGCTACCTCCGGTCTTTGATATAAGAGCTAGTTAACTAATTTGATTGGATTAATAAAACTAGTTAAGTTAATTATTTGTAAAGAATATGTGTTGTCTTTCCTAAAATATTCTTACTAATCAAGTGTATTGGTTAAAACTACCATTATTACAAGGACTACTTTGGAAAAAAATAGATAAATATGAAAGATAAAATGGATTATGATCTTATATTTAGAATCAAAATAAAAGTCAAATGAGCTTTTATATTAAGGACTAGAGGTAGTATATCAATGCGATGTCAAAGCTCTGTTCCTTCCTTACTTTGAGGATTGATTTTCTTTTCTTGCGACAAAGATCCCAAGTTGAGTGCTGCCTGGTGGGTGATGGCAGGAGGTGTCGTTTGCAAGTTTTGTTAATTATTTTTAAGCGATAAATGGACATGGGGTTCCAGTTAGAGTAGAAGCCAAACTCTCTCACTGGGAAGGCACAATTCCGACATACTTTCACTCGTCCAGGAAAACGTTGTTTATTTAATTTGATCACCCAGTTTAGGGGAAAATTAAACAATTAATTTTGGGCAAAGTAAGAATTTCATGAAACGGTTTTTCCCTTGACGCGTCATTAAGGAATTCTTTCACCAAACGCTATCGAATCTTACCCATGCTTATATGCATGGAATCATTAATCCTTATCCTTGATTTTCACTAAACTTTATTCTGCATCGCCCGAGGCTGCTACACAACATAAAATGGCTTCATCGTGGAAGCTGATACAGCAAAACTAATTAATGTCCCGCTTAAATTAACCAGGACTTTAAAATGAGTATTACACATGTACTGTATATAACAACACAATGGGTTGTGATAACAAATTAATTAAGACCTCGTTTGTAGACTATAAATGACGTCTTATAATAAGGACTGAAAGTAATAGTAATTATTGCAGATTTTGCCACGTAAATGTACGCAACATCCGTGTCAGTGAGTTAAAATCTGATATTTCAATATTCAATTTTACGGTTTAATCTATTTCCTCTTTATGTTATCTCATTTTTGAATTTTTTTAACAGGACCCTTCTTAATTTGGCTTGCTGTTACATTTGCAAAGTCTGTTGCACTCTAAATTATTGTTGCACTGAACCCCTCATTAAAGTATAGGTCATGTGCACACCAGTAGTGACTGACAAGTTAACACAATTATTTACTTATTATCTCCGTGAGTAAATACTATTTTGATGTTTTATATATATATATATATATATATATAAATAAGGTGTTTCAAGTTTATAAATTAAAATTTTTGGAGTCCACTCTATTAATATTGTTACCGCTTATATATGAACCTTACTTCATGAACCTTTTCATCAATGATCAATTCAATGTTCATATACATTTCATGCGTCCACATTTAAGCAGTATTGAAGATTCCATTTCCATATTGTTACAATAAAAGGAAAATAAGAAAGTAATTAGTTTATTCAAATATATA